AGAAGCAGATTCACAATTTCTGTTTCTTTAAATGCCATTGCCGCTGCTTCTTTCGGTGTTATCCTTGCTATCCATGGCGCCATCACCTCCACCATCACTCACGTCGCCGTCACAGTCGTTGCCATCGCCTCGGGTGCTTGTCTCTCCACCAAGGTTGACTTCTTCTGTTTTCGGTTTTGTTTCTTTTTTTCTTTTATGGAGCAATTGTTTGTGGTTGTTTGTGGAGAATCTCTGTTTCTCTCAAGAACGAGCTAGCTACTGGTGAGAGCTTTATTTTTGTTCTGTTTTTTCGAACTCTTATGGGTGATTATTGGTCTTGATTTTGCTACTTTTCTTTGTCTTGATGGAACTAGAATTTTCGGTTCTCTTTAAATCAGTTCTCGCTGGTTTCTGTGTTGATTTCGCTAGCATTTTGGGTTCTGGTTTGCTACAGATCGAGTCTCCGGTGGTTCAGGACTGTTTCTTTTTGATTTATTCGCATCCACGTGATTTGTCTTGATTTGGTGAAATTCGAATGCGTGTATTCGAGGTTTTTTTGTTGGATTGTGATTTAGTTTCTGTTTTGTTGTGTTTTAGTAGTGTCGTCGGAGTTATCTAGGTTTGAGAAAAACCCAGATTTGGGTTTGATCAAACCCAGATCTGGAGAGGAAGAAGAAGAGGGGAAGAGAGGAGAGAGAGAAAGAATAAGAAAAGTTAAAAAAAGTCATGTGGGTCCCATTAAAAGGGAAAGTTAAAAAGGTGTTAATATGATGTGTAAAAAACTATATACCACGTGTACAAAAAAACATGTCATGGTAATAAAATTTTCTTAGCTGGATTTACACGTCATTAACATTTAAAAAGTTAAGTGATTTGCTGGCAAGATAACGTGACACCTGTCATTTAACTGACGGAAGGACCATTTTGGTACCAAAAATAAAAGTTCAAGGATAATTTTGGTACTTTTTAAAGCTAAGGGACAATTTTGGTACCAAAGTGGATAGTTGAGGGACCAAAATGGTACTTAAACCTTTTTTTAAGGATAGGGAATGTTAGCCAGGGAGGCCCAGGAGGAAGGTGGACGGGGTACCCCTTGTTGTTTTGGACCAGCCGCCTCTGGTCAGATTCATAATGACTCATAGGCTTCATATTGCTGCAACTTACACGTGGTTTTACTTTGTTGTTTTTTTTTTTTCATTTTTGACCAGATCCAGACTAGAAAGTGGAAAATAACTAAATCCAGATCTTTGATTTGATAATAACACTGGATTAGATGATGAGGCTGCTGTTTTTTACAATTGAACTTTCAGCCCACAGCAATCTGTCCTTTTATCACTTAAATAAACCTTACCTATATGTGGACTTTTAATTAGATGATAATTTCTTTTGGAGGAAGGTTTGTAGGGTATGTTGCTAAATAAGTGACAAAAATGTGTTTCCTCATTCATATAATTAGAATTTGAATTCTCATTTATATGCTGTTAAATTAGTGACAAAAATGTGATTTTTCATCTGTATAATCAAGGTTTAAACTCTCACTCCCGTCTCCTCCATGAGAGCTTTGAGTTCTAATTAATTGCTCTGTTCTATGCACGAAAAAAAAAAAGCGGAAATAATTTTTTTAGTGAGACATTTTGCAGTTAAATGTTATTTTTTTGTTGTTGAGTTCATTTAAGTAAAAGGGTTTTTCTAATTTGATATACAAGTAATAATTAATAATCTTTTAATTATTAAGTTGTATAAAAAATCAAAAAAATAAATATTAATTTTAATATTAATGTCACGTGTATTAATTTAACTGATTTTGTTAAATTTAAAGTTAAATTTTATGTTTTTAATGTAAGTTAATAACTAAAAGGTATATTAAGTGCATTCTTAACATATATCTTAATAATATAGATGAAAAAATCCTAAGTAAAAATAATATCCCCTAATTTTCTTGTAACTTTTAATAAATTAATACTAAACAACTCCTGGGAAATCATAGTTTCTGTTTAACGTAGTCTTGGGAACTCCTTAATTAGAAGAGGCAAGAAATTCTGTGATGAACCATAATAAGAGTTAGAATATTTTAATTCTGTATATCAATAAAAGATGAAGAATATGTTGAAATGTCTGCAAAGAACATGGATTGTAAAGAAGATTGCCAATTGTGGCAAAAAAAA